CAGCAACGGGTTCTGACATTATGCTCGTGCCGGCACCAGTATCAGTAAGTACTTCTAATCTGTAACCGTTGATGTTCAGGGGTATGTAGGCTGGACGAACAGTTTGAGGCATTGGAAGGCCGGCGTACGGGCTGGCCGTGCTTGGCAGCATGGGTATTGTTTCACTTTTCATGTGTACGTCGAATGTATGAACTTCAGCATTTGAATAAAATTTGGGAGGTTGATAACTGCGGCCACACGGCCCTCCTTTATCGTAAGGCCTCATTCTTTTCCCTGGGCGGTTGCCCAGAACGCATTGCCCTGTTGTGCAACGCGATATTGTATATAGTCATCGTACTCGCGCTGCACCTTGCTTTTCACCTCTGGAGGGCAGATTCGGTCAATTCGAAATTTATCGTCAGGAGCAGTTTGTGTGCACTCTGTGTACGAGTGAATGAAGTCGTGACATTTTGGGCAAAACAGTTTGCCATTGTCCAACCGGTAGCCGTCAAAATCGATAAACTTCGGTGGTATGCGCTTCAGTTCATCACGGGATGACCGGCGCTCGCGACCACCAGGACGGTCTGAGCGTTCATTGCGGTGCTCGCGTGGTGAACGATCACTATACTGTTGGCGATTGTCTGAGCTGCGACCACGCTGACCAAAGCGATCGGCGCTCGGTGAACGATATCCGGTGCGGCCAGGTGCACTGTACCGAGTGTCATCCCGACTGCGGCTTACCGAGCGGTATCGATCTGCTGTATCGCTTTGTTCGTTGTGCCGTTGACGTGTATCGGCTGGGTCACGGCTGCGAGAGCGGAAGCGGTCACGAGAATCATCACGCCGGCGCCAGTCGCGATCAACCGGGCGACCGTTGCTGGGGTGGCGATAGCGGCTGCGGTCACCATACTGGCTACCTTGCTCTGCGCTGCGACGATAAGGGGGCGGTACGGGCCAGGCGAGCGAGAGATCTGGGTAGTGCTATACCGCTGCGGTGCACCACGTTCACTGTAATGTTTCACTTCTATCGGGTTCGATTCAGATCCGGCAGCGTCACTCGCGGTCAACGACAGCGAGTTTAGTAAGAACAGAACGAATATCACTAACCGTGCTGGTCTTTGTGATAGCCAAAAACTTGCGGTACTCAGGAACATCAGAAAACGCGCGATTTATTTCCGCAATTTTATATTTTTCAGGCATGAGTGCATCAATCTCCTGAAAAAGTACTTGCATTTCGTCCAGAAACTGGTTGACGTCCATGCCCTTTTTGAAAACTTTCTTCGACAACTCAAGGCGTTTAATCATTTCGTAATCTTCTGGTAGAAAGCGCTCAACTAAAACTGATTTCCACTGATCATACGAGTACAGCTTATTAACTGGCCACAGCCCTTCGAAATAGCGTCGTGGTGCTTCACCGAGATAGTTAGGTAGCATTTTCACTTTGCGTTCGTTGCCCCAACCAAGAGTATCAGCTGCGCGATCAAACTGCTGGAAGAAAGCAGTAATAGTGTATTCTGGCTTATTATTAAAAATTTCGATCTTAAAATCTTTTGCGTTCAGCCGCAAATTATTGTTATTAGAATCTAGCCGTAAACTGCGTAAAAGATCGGCGAGGTTGTTGTGATCTATACGTTCTGCCTGTACAGAGGCGTTGTGCGCTGCCGGTTCAACAGTGTGAGCGGATGGCTGTGCTGTAAGCCGCTCATGCACTTGGACGTCTGGTGAACGAATGCGTGCATTAGGCCCACCATGTACAATAGCGGGCGATGCTGCACGGGAAAGTCTGTGTGTACCGGCTTGTGTGCGCCCTGCTTGCTGTCGGAACTGGCTGATCGATTCAGCATGCGAGAGGTTCAACAGATTGTCGAGATCCTCAAGCATGTGTTCTGGCAGCGAGTCACCTATGCGGCGATATATACCTGTCAGCCACCAAGGGCTGACGGCGTGCCACAAACGCACGGTGCTGCTACCTTCAATGTGAAACGAAATCATCATTTTTCTCGGCTAAGCTTCAACAGAACTTCCATTCCAGCCATTCAAACGATGTAGAAAATCTAGAAATGTTTTAGATCCTGGCAAGTAAGCATTCATGACGGACAAGAAAGCTTAGTAATGTATAATGTTGAAGTTTTCTCGTCCAAATAGCACTGCGCTCTACAGAGCCGTCAACAGAGCAGCAGCAGCTAAACTACCCAGTGCACACAAGCTAGGTAAATGTGGGTGTCCGAACTGAGTACCACTGTTAACTGTGCTGTTTGTTCAGGAAAACGCAAACATAACTGCTACGAGTACTAACAAAAAAAATTCAAATTGTATTGTACTAGTAGGTACTGGCAATAGAGTCTATATTTATTTACAGTTCTTGTAAATGTTGCTGCGAAAGCAAACAGACAAAACTTAGCCTTTTATGCTGTAAGCCTAAAGCGCAAGAAAATTAGTCGACTCGGCTGCACCAGATTACTTTATAGGCCACCTACACTTCCTGCAGCGCCCGCACCATGAACCGAACTCGCTTACCTTGTCGTACACCAATCCCTTGGGATGTGGGATTCTTTCGAAAACCGACGAAGATAAAATGCGGCCTGGTATTTTACTGAACCGAACGTACCGTACTGTAAGTATCCGCGCTGTTCTAAATCAAGTACTTATATTAATTTCTGGGCTGACTAAATGATGTACACAAAAATGACAGTTGCTAACATGAGAAACGAGACTCATGACAGAAAATAATAATCCAACATAACATGTCAAAAAACATTTGAGTTTCCTTAATAGAAAGTGGCTGTTACCGCTGCTTTCTAAAGTTTTGGAGTCTTCGAAAAGATTTCAGTTAATTAAAATATGCGAACAGTAGTCACTGCTACATGCTTACTTTGTTACCATGACGAGTTTGATACTTTGTATTTGTTGGAGCAATGGTCCTTGTAAGGACTACGCTGCATACTTATGCAACAACAACAACAATGACAAAAAAGGGACGCATGTGCTACGAGTCAGGGCGGCTGACTTCGATCCAGGTATGACGTTGCAAATTTTTGCAGTGACTGATAGTAATAATTTTTATAATTTTATATTCACGCATGATATAACTTGTGCAAGAGCTACATTACACAAACCAATATAAGCATTGACATTGATTTTATTTTTGTCTTCATATGTTTTATAACTGGCTGGCTAATTGTTCATAATACCCTTCCTTATTACGGTGTTCTTTTGGCAAGGGTTAACTGCACAAATAGAAGGAAGCTCTCCTTGTGTTTCACACAAACTGCATCAAATGCGGTTTTATATGGTGTCGAAGCATGGGTCCAAAGCATGTCGTTCAAGGCTGGTTCTTGCACCGCCGTGATTTGTGCCACCGGGGCGTCACTGTCGGCGATGCCTGTTCTGGGCTCGCTCATCACGGTGGACATGCTCGGGGTGAGGTCTTCCATTTGGTCGTGCCGAGAAGGTCCAAACTGTATCGTTATTGCTGGAAACCAAAAAATGGTTAAACCTTCAAACGTTGGCCGTCCAATTTTGTCAAGGAATTGTCATTTTTACCATTACATGTACACGGGAATACATGTGCAGCTGAAATTACGAACCTGTACTAATGACAGTCCGCGCTGTGAATACGGCAAAAAACTGTCACGAATAATTGGTAAACTGAAGGGTCACGAGCTGCCGCTGATTTGCTTCCGGTATAAAAAATATCACGGCATCAGCTACTGCAACCAAATAATGCAGCAACAATTGTATCTAAAGCGGCGCTAACGAGGTCAAGGAAACCATAGAAGCGTTGGAAAGGTCATTTGCTGCGGCAGCTTAGGTTCCCGTACATGCATCAAACATCAAATACCGGAAGCACAATGCGGCATTTGTTAACTACTTTAAACCCATCGCATGTCGTCACCGCACCTCACGAAGCGGTGGTGGAAAGCTTGCTATTCGGCTTCCGATTCGAGCGTGCCGTTCTGACGAGAAGTGCCACCGGCGATCTGTTCCACGCCTTAAACTTAGCGATGTGACAACAATTCACGCTGCAGTTTTTCCTTTGCCTCCGAATACCGGTTTTGGACGACGACTTCGTCTTAGAACCTTATAATAAGTTCTATCGGCTGTACGAAAAAAATGCCGACCGCCTTAGTGAAGGAATGAAAAATTTGGCGGTCGGGACGGCAAGGGTGTTAGGTCGAGGGTAAGCCGCAGACCGCGGCTGGTGTGGACGGGCAAAAACAGGCCAGTACTATGGCGCTTGTCTTATCAGCGGGTGACTTTTCTACATCGGCAAATTATGTTCTATGTTTCGTTTCTGCTGTTACCGGCTGCTGCTGGCTTGCTAGTGTCGGCGGTTAACGTTTTCCGAGTCACCAGCTAGTCGCTGTTTTAGTCTAAATAGAACCTGCGAGCATCGTAATGTGCGGTGCGCAGTATCGGGGATGTAAGTACGTTGTAAATACGATTTGCTTGGTTCTCGTATGCTTCAAGGTCATGTTAACCAACAGCAGCCGGTTACTGAGAAAAGATATATATGCTCTTTTCTCAGAGCATACTCTAAGAAAAGAGTATATTCTAAGAATAACGATTATCATTTCTGTTTGTCTAGAACAACGATTAATATGCATGATAATATTTAAATATTTTAATTGATAATGTATAAATAATAACTAATATTGTTAACTGTTCAAATAACTAATATTGTTAATGGTACTCAGGTCAGCTTTTGCCATTTCAGAAACTTTAGCTGTTAGCCGCATAAAAAACCATCCAGTCAAGCGAAAGAGAAGAAAATATGGTGCATACATGTAGAGCTAATAAAACTACTTAATCAAACGCCGTCAAAAGTTGTTGGATACACTGTAATACAGTATCAGTGCTCAAGCACTACAAGAAAAACTAGTATTATTAAATAAGAACTGGGCTGAATATTTACATATGTTCTTTATGCAGCAACAATAACACTGTACGTGTTGGTTCTCTTTATTTCAACCTTGGTAACATGAAGCATCCAAAAAAGAAAAAAACAATCCGAATTAAATTTATCAAAGAGTGAAGCAATGCCATGTTTTCCCAGCTGAGTACTGTGCGTAGTACGTACACTATGCGAACATGGCTGCACTTATAATTATGTATAAATATTATCACATCCATATTATCAGATCCGCTTTCTTCTAGCAAAAAGCAGGCGCAAACAAAGCGTTAATAAGTTCGATCAAAAACAGGCTGTGCGTCAATACGGATCCTTCTAACTACGCCCCATACTGAGACGTGATTAAACATCCGGGAGCTAGACGGAGCAACTCATCATATCCGGGTGTTGGAAATATATTTATTCGGTTGACTCGCTGGTTTTCTATCATTTCGTGCTATGACAAATCTAGCAGCATCAACATTTACCTCCTCCGAAGTCTTTACAAGATGGCGTTAACGACCTGGTGATAATTTATTAATCTACGTACAGTTCATCCATTTAAACATTTAATTTTTTAGTTTGTCAGTTCGATTATAACTTTATACAGGAGCTCATATTTATCCGGTGTTAATTTATTAATATAGTTGCTTATTTGTTTCTAATTCTGTATCGGCCATCTCCAGTGTCTATTTATCCAGTGTTTGCTTATCGGTGATTTGTTTTTAATTTCTATCGGCATCTCCAGTTTATATTTATCCATTTTTTACTAATAATCTACAACTGGATGGTGAGGTAATTCTGTTTTTAATCAATGGAGAATATGGAGGATTCTGATGATGTTGTTGAATGTCGACAAAATGGAGCTCGTGATTGTGGCGCAACAGTTGCAGATGCAGAAAACCAAATGGCCTTGGATTTTTCATACATAGGTAGACGGAACGAGGGAGTTCACTTTGGCCAAGTCCACCACACCCCAGCTGCAGTCAGTTCCTGTGGTCCCGCAACTTTGCCGAACCCCTGCAGCGTCGCTTCAGGTAATTAATTTTGAAAACAGCTATGATTAACGTCTTCGGAAGAGAACACTTCTTTAATTTACGATGCCGAACCATGTAGTATGATGTGTTTTTCCCGATTACTGGTTCTGGTTTTACAATACTCGTGTAAACAATAACGTTCAATATTGGGATGCATTATTAATGGATAATGACAATCGTTGCCCGGGAATGCCTTTCATTAAATCGTACAATCACATAGTTATTGTTTAAAAATTCTCGGTAATGGAAGATTGATGTACATGCAGGTCAACCGGAGTTTCTCCGTTCCCCTTTATCGTCCGTCCACCAGATGACGCCGATGGATGTGCGTGACTACCGGACGATGGTGGCCGATTTGGAGAAGCGGCTTATGGACCGGGAGCAGTTGCTGCGCGAGGACGAGAAGAACGAGGCGTTGGATGAGGTGACTAAGGCGCAGAGTGGCTCAGTGAATCAACTGAGACATCTGCTAACACTGTACGAAGGGTACCACGAGTATCCGGAGTCTATGATGGCGTGTGTGCGGACGAAATACCGGGAGGTCAGTTCACACGGAAAAAGAGGGAGATGACGATAAGATCTTCGAGAAAAAATATTTCATTTTTCATATTAATTATTCAAATTCAGTTTACTGTCAAAATTTTAATTTTTATAATTATCGTTTAACGTCGAAAATTGTTACCAAATGAGATATTATGTTTCTTGTTTGCAGTTGGAACATGAGAAATGCGCGTTGGAGGCGTCCTTGCAGTCGCGCATCGCCGTTCTCGAAGCGGAGATCTCCTCCTTGCACGCTACTCACAGCGAACTTAGGACCCAAATCGAACAACTGACCACGAACAGTCAGGATGAGGTCGTTGTTCTGCGGCGGAAACTGGCGGAAACAGAGTCCCTGCTGATGGCAGCGCTAGACTGCGATAGGTCCGACGATGAATCGGGTGTCGTTGAAGAATCCGGGGATATTCTGGAAGACGGCATTAATGTGCGGAAAGTCGTCGTGAGGTTGGTGCGCGCACTGAAGGAGATCCAGGCGATGCGGAAAGAGATTGGTGCGCGGAAGGATCAGGTCAGCGAGATAAATGTGGAGATTGCCGAGTTCCGCGAGAAGCTGGATGCCAGTAGCATCCAACGCGACAAGTAAGCTGTTTAATCTTTTAAATTTTGGTTAAAAGCCGCCGATTTCCAGCGTGTTGGATTTTGAGTCCTGCTTTTTAAATAGCCTTGCTTCATAAAGCAGTTTCACAACGTTTCTTTGTTCTTATTAATGGTATAAGTGTACTTTTGTGGCTAGTGGTTAATTTATGTTTGTTATTGCTAAGGCTATTTGCAGCTGCAGACGAGAAATCAAAGGTGCAACCATGGGAGGCGTTTAATATTAATAAAACAGAAAAGTTGAACATTCACGATAGCATGTACTTACTACTTAGTTGACCCGGAAATTGTTCTGATTTATTTTGTAGGTTGTTTTGCACCGATTGTTTGGACGGCTCAGCCCACCGGGAGGATTTTGCCGTTGTGGAAGTTTCTGGGGGAGACCAGTGTGGCACATCAATCGGCGCCTCTGCCACAAAGGGAGAGAAGCGACGTAACAAAAACACATTCGCAAAGCGCCAGAAAGTGAAGGATGTCGTGGTTGTGGAAGTCCGTGGAGGAGATGGAGTACTGCAATGTGGCACCGTAGCTGAAGGCGGAGGTACCGAAGGCGGTGTATTCGTGGATTTTCGTTGCACAGGCAGAAGAAACGAATGGGTTCCTTTGGACGAAGTCTTTTTATCCCGCGACGATCGCGCTGTGCCCAAATTGTGTCCTATTTCTTCCAACAATAACGGTAAATCTAACAGGAGCGAAACGCATAGCTTCTTCGATATTATATCTTTCCAGGCTTGCATAATAATTATAATAATTAATGTGTATGTGACACTGCATAGCATACAACGAACAAACGGGAAAGCGTTTTCGCAACGGTGTTTTGTAAAAAGTAAACGGAAAATTGTAACAGAGCGTGCTGGTTGCAGGGATTCAGGATTCCGTGGAGGTGCTGATGCAGCACAATCCTTCGGAGCCGTGGAAATGGCAACCCGCCACCGCTTTGTACGACTGGATCTTTTGGCACTTTGGCATGGTCGTCATTCCCTTGCCTGGAGGAGAAATTAGAAGCATAATTCCAAAAGACCGGATCAGGAGTCCAAGTGCTGGGAAGCTCCGTGGACTGGAAGAGGAGGTGGAACTTGACTTCGTGCGAAGAATGATGCGGTTTTACGTAAGCAGCGGTGTATTACACTGAACCCGGTGTACTACATTGAACCCGGACCGTGAATTATCCTAGACTGTCCGAACTATCTTTTGACATGCAAAAATTAACTTTCTCTTCTTATTTATAATTCAAAAAATAATATTGCAGAGTAAATCCGTGCTGCGCCCACTGGAAGCCGAAAACGGAAAGGCAACCACGAAAGGGCAAAAACGTCGACGCTGCAACGAATCCGTGGCCATCGTTAAACGCTTGAGAACGGCCCGGAGCCGCAGTGGCTCCTTGTCCTCGCTTCACGAACTGGTTGGTCCCGAGGATGACGGACTCCGATTCCTGCCTGTGGAGATCCTTATGGAGACCTTTCAGTTCCTGCACAGCATTGATCAAGGTCGGCTGTTGGCGGTGTGCAGCGGGTGGTACGGCATACTCACCTCGGTCCTCGTCAAACGTCTGCTGCAAATCCATTTTCCATCCAAAGTTGATTTTAGTCGTGCTCGCTCACATTCCACAGGAAGCGCTTGTGTCGCGGATACAAATGCACAAAGCTGTTGGAGCAATCGCTCTGCGGTTATTGTTGGCGTTTCAGTAAATGGTGCGCTGGCACTGGAGGATTGGCCCATTTGTGACGGGTTCCTCCTGCGCGAGATCCTGCAGCTAGGAAACAAGGAGGTTTTGGAAAATCTTGTCCTGAAGAACATTACTTGCTGGTTTCAGCCGAGCCATACCGAAGATTACATTCCCGCGCTTTTTAATGTATTTAACTCGCTAGCGATGATGTGTCGTACGTTAAGCGTGATGAACTTCATTTGCGAGATTCGTCGATCATGGATCGATGCGTCTGTGCCGATCACGATCCGCATCCCGTTCGGTCGGATGCGTAGCGATCGCCGCGTCACTGTTGCCGACTGGTGGGACATGATTGAGCAAAGCTGTCCACTGCTGGATGACCACCAAATGAATCTGCTCTCCACTAGGATGAACGAGGTGAAACAAGACTGGAAGCTTGGTGGTCCATGGCTAACGGTAAAAGTATGGTATCATTATCTAAAGAGTCCACTAATACAGTAGCACTAAGCTCAGCTAGCTGCGCTGCTGCATAGTTGTATCGTCATAAACCTTGAACAGTTCACCTTCTGATTTGCAGATTACCAGAAGTCGACAGGCTGGTGACCCTCGGACGAGTTCCACCTATTTCAAGCCGTTCCCAGCTACATCCATTTATCCGCTTGAGTTTGTTGACGTACATCGGCTGACACGAATGACACAATACCTCATGTTTTGTGCAATCACTGACTCTACGATCAATCTCGAGTTGGCTTTGCCAGCTTAATGGACCAACTTCGTTTGTGAATTTTCCGTGGGAATTCGGTAAAAGGCTTTTTGTGGACTAAACCATTTTTTTAAAAATATGGACATACGTTTTTCCGGTTTATAAGCTCACCGGTTTTTAAGTGATAAAATTTGACAGGACGCAAGTTTAATATGTAGCTACGTTTATTTGTTCCTGACCTGTCTTTCTCTAAAATTGTACAGTACTCTGATGCTGCATAACTCTTGTACCAGTGACCAAGCTAATGAAATTGATGATTGTTTACAATTTAAAATTTAATTGAGAAATACGAACAATAAAATGGATTTGTGCTTAGCAAGAGCATACGGTTGCGGGAAATTTAACAGGCTCTATTAATGTAGATTTATTGCTCTTATCAACCATTACCTGGCGACGAAGCAACTTACACGGTGATCTTTCATATTCTGGCCTAGAGATGTTCTTACGATTCACGATGTTTATGTTTCTGTAGCATCATTTCATGGTTTTGTTAAGCAGCGTTTCCTGCGAAACCAAGACTTAGTACCTATTTCAGCTTCATTGTCAATTACTAAATTATTGCTTATTCAGAACATAAAATAGTTTTTGTAAGGTGAAGGTACTAACTAGATTTGCGTATTCCTCTCGCATTAAGTCTGCCCAGACAATGCCACTCACGATCGACAAAGTCAACGACTTCAGCAAACTTCTACGAGATCACAATAAAAAAGTGCAGGGCTTCCTAAAACAGGACGAGATCGCGTACAATGCAACTGGAAAACTGAAAAAAAAGAATAGGGCGTGCCAGATACATCACGTACAAGGAAGTTTCACCTGCTTGTCCGTGTATGAAAAATCTCATCCGACCAGTGTTTTACTGTACGCATTTTCCGAAAAAATTCTTGCGATAAAAGATCTAAGAAAACAGATCTGGTGGTGTTATGGATCTGACAAGGATGAGAAACTTGAGGTTACAACTTATTGGAGGAACGAACAGGTTGGCGAAGAGTTTGGGGTCCTCTCTCTGGTTCTTGCTGCCGAGTTGGTGGTAAACGACAAGTCTTTGGGAAAAAGCAGTAAAAACATGTACGACGTTAACCATGTGTCAATTTGGATCGACAGCTGCTTATTTGCAAAGAAAATATTGCCGATGAATCCATCAATGTTTACCGCGGATGATATGGGCTGCAATGTTCTTACAGTCACGTTGCCCCGACAAGACGTTCCGGGATTGCCCCCATTAGCGTCAGCACAACCTAAAGTGAGTTTTAAGATTAAGAATTAATTTTTAAATTTCAACAGACACCAATAGTCACTCACTCTGAGGAGTCAGTCCTTGTCATGATATGCCAACAACTCGTAAGCTATGAGTGATCAAGGAAACAAAATTCTGATCGCTAATACTGTTTACGCATCTTTCGATCCTCTTAAAAAGGCCAAAGGGTACGAAGATCGGGTAATTTTGCTCGATGTGTTCGAGCGAGTGGCACAATAGCTTATTACCCTTGCGGTGGCCACCTGCCCTGCCCTTGCAAATTTGGATAAATTTGCGAGGTGACTTTGAAATCAGCAGCTCCAACCGCTCCACCGGTACCGGAATGAGCGCGAAGGTCTCAGGAAAGATATTGTCAAGATCAAAATTTTCCTTCCATGTGCGATCCTTTCAGGCTATGCTAGTTAAGTGATCATGTCGGTTTTTCAATGAATAATTTTGTGATTCATTTTCTGCCTTTTTTCGAAATCCACGGGGTTTCGATATCTTTTTCATTTTCTGCTCATCCCGATGAGCGTGCCTCCCACCCGTTGTCACCTTTGCAAACGGTAGTGCGCATCAGATCGGCCTCGCTGCCTACCGTGCCAACCTTTCCCACACCAACAGCCGGCAGATCTGGTTAACCAGCCCATCAGAACTGTAGCCAGACAGGCGGTTGGTAAAGTACACGGCTGGTATATCCTATATATTAATTCTCTAAGTGGTCAAAAGGGTTACATCGGTGGTTGTACCGTCGTATCACTGGATCGTTATATCGGTCACGACGGTCAGACTAAAATTTAGCAAAGCTTTGAATGTATCTGAACCAGTAGAAGTAATACAGGTACGAAAATCCCGGTAATTATAGAGCTGTATCTTATTTGTAGTTCTTGGCAACTGACCGGCAGTTGCTGCTGAATGATCTGGGAGAAGCTTAAAAGTTTGTTTTAAAATTGCAAATAAAAGGGCATGTTCCTGGAAAATTTCAAATTTTCGGGTCTAATTTAAGGTTATTACTGAAGTCAGCGGAACAGGACAATGTTTTTTTTTCAAAACGACCTTAAATATTTAATTGGTAAACTAATACAGGCTAACTGCTACTAATCTATCAGTGAACTATGGCCAAAATTAATTAATGGTAATTATGACATCCCCGTGATAAAACTGAGCTTCAGAGAGGTCTTATAATTTCTTATTTCTTGGATTTTCAGAGAACGGACAGTTTTTCCAAAATGATCCGTATTGGAGTAACCCGAAGCAACTCCACCCTCAGCAGGGCAAGCAGTGTCAGCGGCAGAACCATGGCACCATCTTCCGCCCTACCCGCGAAACTATCCCCGGCACTATCCACGGAAGTAGCAGAACAAAAAACACAAACAACAGAACCGAACGCGCCCCACACTGAACACCCAACCGAACCGGCATCGTCCCAAATAGGAGAGCAGAACATGTCGCCACACATTATTCCGCACATCGAAGTCTATCCCGACAATTTATCTGACAACATGACTCTTTCTAATACCGGAATAAGCCCAGGCCCCAGTCCCAAGGAAGTCCCTACGTTTGAAGAAATAGCACTAAAGGAATGGACTGGGATGATAAGGGAATGGAAAAACGACCCCGGATGGCCATCACTCAAGAATTTACGGGAAGCTGTAAATGTCTGGTGCGAGAGAGCAAATCAAAGGGCCAAGGAGCTGGGACCTACAGCTCCAGATAAGGGTAAGTTACTATAGAAATGCACCGGTGTTGGCCGGCATTATAAGACCAACACGAAGCGGAAAACTGATTTGCGTCGCCAAGCTGAAAACTGAATTTATCGAAATTACAAGACATAGATTATTCATTTTTATTTTCTTCGTAGTCACTTCAAGTTAATAGATAATAAATACTTTAAATTAAAAACCCCCATAAATAATAACGCCTTATATGTTGATTGGCACGCGTTAACCCAATGGAGCACTGCACAGGCACGATCAGCGAATTTTAGCGATTTTGCGCAGCGATCGCGGCTCGAAGAAACCACAGAAACAGCGAACGCAAGGGTAACGCTTGTAACCGGCAGCTAGGTGGATTGGTGAATTATGGGAGTTGAAAGAAATCACAACCACCTTCCTGCCGAAATTTGGCAGATTGGTGGATGAGTCGCCCAGCTTTCTGACGGATAACATCCGCCTTCCAGCTGAAGTCAAGCACAATGGTGAACGACTCATTCACAAATCTGCCGGAATTCGGCAGGAAGGTGGATGTGATTTCGTTCAACGTCCATCATACACCCGTCCTTCCTGCCGGTAACAGACGCATCGTTTTCGTGGGCCATTTATTTGCCCGTTTGGCTGATGGGTGGCGTAGAGCTGCAGCGTACGGCATCTGCCATTCGGATGTCAATGTCAGCGCGGAAAACAGTTTGTTCATTTTAGTCCGGAAGTGCAGATCCTCAGCTGCACAGCCTGCACATTATTATTATATGTAGCCGACATTATTAGAGCATTACTACAGCCTACAGGTGATACATTGCTGCAGAACTTGAACCTTAATTATTATTTTCAATCAACCGCGAAAATATTACTAGTATTTAAAGCCCATGTTGCACAAAAATTCCCAGAAAAGTCAAACGTCAGAAAATATTTCGGTGTTAAAATTGGAAATAACCGGTTCAGAGCCCAACACTAACCTACTAGTTCAGAGCCCAACTAGTACCGACATTTAATTGTGATATTATAAAAAAAAACAACCAGCCATCAGCGCATCTATGCTGCCGATCCGGGAAAACCAAACATACGGAAAACTCCAGAAAATCACACAGCAAAATATGAAGTCAGTAGAGTACATAGGGCTTTATCAATGATACAACGTAAGCACGTCCGGACAAAATGGCAGTTAGCAATTCTGAGCTCTCGCAAATGGGAAAATTATTTATGTATGCTACTGTACAGTATGTACAAGGTGTGTTGGGTTTCTAAAATTAATAATGAGTTCTAATAGTGCTGGGCTTATACTGTAGTATGGCTGGCTTCGAAATTAACGTCTTTTTAAACTTTTCTTCCACCAAACCGAAGTAACAATAACGAATACATTGACACGCGAGTTCCTTTACTCTTGCTATTGGTAAGCATTTTTCCATTTGTTGTAGATCGTCTGGCGGGGTTGAAGTCGCTTGATTCGTCATATATCCCGCTTGATCTTGATCCAACGGCAACTTTCTGTTGTCAGATCCACAATATAACCCGAACTGATTTCGTATATTCCCTATGGGATAAGGAGAAGAGCCAAGGAAGTAAACCGGTTATAAAACTGTACGATCCTTGTGCTTCACTGCGCGATTTCAAGCTGACAGACAGAATAAAGGAGCAGCTGTGGAACTGCTATGGTGGAAATAATGCTGCGATTACCATTATTCGCATGCCTTTGCAAGCCGTGCCTAGTGATACAACTTCCACCAGCTACTACAGTGCCGTTCTGGCAATGGCCTGCGCTGCAGATACAGTTTTCATAAAACCGAAAGATCCTTGTCTGACCAATTATAACGCACCGGGACTGCAAGGCTGGGTTGGCACTTGTCTTCGTGATTTGTGTGGACCATCGACATCAGCACTAGCGTCACCCAAGAAATCCAATCCCAAGAGTGGCCCAACCCCGTATGATATTACTAAAACAGAAGTCACAGAAATTAAAAAAAGGGCAGAAGAACGCTACGATGTAAGTACTATGCTGAAACTACTGCCTCATAATACCTGAAAATAACGCGATAACGTGAGACTGTACATCGTCAAGCGCTTTTGAGCAATCTTAGTTTCCTGAACCGCTGTGCGGGCAGATAACGTATTTCATGGTACTTATTTACAATCTAAGACTAAATGGTCGCGCACTCTCATACCCACCATTCCGTACTTATTTACAATCTAAGACTAAACGGTCACGCACTCTCATATCCATTTGCCGCTTGCGACAAGTGCACTGTGCCAGACTGCCGGTGTGCGCGACTGTTTAGTCTTAGATTGTATAATATCAGTTATACTTGACCAGCAGCTGAATCAACTGTTACGGTCCAGGTTAACGCGCAGAATCTAAACCGTCCTAAATTTGGTTATACTAGGAAAGAGCAGCGCTTTAATCAGAACGAAGCGACTTGCAAAATTTTTCGCAAATATTGCAAAATTTTTCGGTAGCAGAGCAGGTTGCCCAATCTACTAGTACTTTTCGATTCTGAATTTACATCCCTTACACTTATCGTACCATTGGATGGCGAAACTTTCACTTATAGAATTAGGGAGCCGTAACTTGATCGGTACTAGCAAATCGAATTAACGTACTGTTGCTCATTAACATGAGAACTGGTAACTAATTTTCAAAAGCCGACAAAATCTGCGCTCCGGTTGACCAAACCAATCGGATTTTCCAATAATTTTCTAATTTGATAATATTTACGATGTATCCGCTACTTCCTGTGCAGATGATTTGGTATTCCAGTTTCTCAAAGAATACCACTGTACCATATTAGAGACTATTGGAATCGTTTACACAGCTTTAATGTTAAGGTATAAAGGTAGCGGACGCAACCAACGACGGCTGAGCTATAAAACTAATCAACAGTCTTATTACACATGTAAAAAAACAAGATTTCTACCAAAACCGAACGTCCTAAGTTTCGAACGAAGTGTGGAACTGGACAATTGGTTATGTATAACTGCAAAATCTCATCAGTTTCGTGAATTTGACTGAAGTGAAGTGGTAATTGCTTTAATCGGCATTTAAAGTCATTTAACAAGTGGGCTTAAAATAGTTCAACCTTGTTATGATCAGATTTACATTGGTGTCTTTCAGCTGTTTGAGTACTTTCAAAATCCACTTCCTCTCTCGGCTTCTGGTACGCCACCTCCACATGACGATGTGATGCAGCATATAAGAACAACTGAGGAAAGGGGTCCGAAGGTGAAAAGAGGCGACCGCACCTCTCTTGTTTCCTCAGTAGCCGATCAAAATACGTCTAAAGGTCCTAAAAAATCGGTGAAAGGTTCCAACGAGTCGGCTTCCCGTAAGTTGATACAAAAAAAGTTAGGTACAAAAACATAACTAAAGAATAACACGTTAGCGTGCATTGCAGACCAAAATAAGCGTTAAAAAATACGTCTTTTTTAAGTTCTACTGATTAAAATTTGACAGTTTATTGCCAGGTTTCATTTTTAGCTGGCATACATGCGTACCGGTAGACTCATACAAAGAAGGCAGGTTTTATTAAATTCGTGGCAGTTTTCACTGATATGCATTATTGTCGTCTTTTTATATTGAACATTTTCTAGCAAGGAGAAAGGAAACGGTGGTAAGGTCGATACAGAATACTGTATTTTGTTGTTTTGCAGATTGCTACATGGACGCGGGCAAAGGTAATAATCTGAAATAATGTAATACAGAGCGCTCTGTTTTGAACCGCACGTCTCCCTGTCAAAGTCGATAACTGACGCGGTCGTATTTGTTGAATTAAAGTATCCGTATGACAAGGTGCAAAAGGTGACAGTGGCATCTGTCACCGGCAATGGTCACCGGCACTATCATCTTCCATTACGCTTGTCGTTTTGAAATATATGTTTTCTCCAATGTACTGCAACTTATCGTTGAATGGCAACATCATTTCTAACTGGTTCTGTATTTCCAAAAATTGCCGTATTTCGCGGCTTGCGAGACGCGTAATGGCAGATGACAATGGTAACTCCCGGTGGCAGATGCCGCTCCCGCCTCTTACACCCTGTCTGAAAACATACGCTGCGCTCCGATCCCAAAGCTGAAATTTTTAACAGAAGTACTTTATGTAGGCATAATTATGTGGGAGAATATGTCAGTCACCACAGGAAATGATGCTCATGTTGACCAAGCATTAGAAGCTGATTACTCGTCACAGCCACCACAAAATCTTGGTTACCCCGCGTCTTTCCGGATATGGTTTAGGTTATACGAACGAGCCGGACTCAGCCAAAACAATATGAAGGAAGAAAGAGGGTAAATGTTTGCGCTTACTTACACTTGCAGCACCCGCTCCAGTGGTATCCGGGTGTTTAATGGGCTGAATATTCAGTTTCATGGTATCATGCTGAATCGAGCTTACTAGCATCTCTCCATCAGTATAGTTCGAGCATTTTTTAGTTAAATCAGTTTGTGACATCACGTTGATAGTCTCGACAGTAGCAGCCGGAAGGGGCGTCATATTGTCGAGATCGGAGAGCTGCGTAGTGTGAGAGCTACGGTTTAAGGAAAATGCCCCGTTAAATTTGGGTACGCGCACGTCAGCTATCGCTTTCGCGCACTTTCCAAAAGGTTTTTGCACTTTTATGGCGAATGTTTTATGCACGATGATATAAAAACCGTTTGTGCGGTAGAGGAGTTTTGGCTCAAAAAAAATTTCAATGCATCAGAATGTGCCAGAGGTTTCATTACGCACGGAATTTGACACCTGCGCAAAGGTATGGTCGTACTTGCACCAAACCACGGCTCGAGCAATCTTTTCAAATTTAAAAAAAAATTGAATATTTTGAAACTGGTTTACAATTTGAACAAAATGGTGCAACTCTGCTTTAATGCACGAACAATCTTCGAACTGATATGGGATTCAGTGTGAATATTGTTTATGTGCAAAATTTCGGGAAGATTGGTCCGTAACGAATATTTGGTGCAGCTTGTGAAGGCCGATAGCTCCACCTTCACGATTGGCTATTCGCCATTGTGTTTTGCTGTTCTGGGGATTTCCATCCCTGCATTTTTCATGGTCTGCAGCACACCTGTGCTCTCTGCAATCCAGTCTGGTGTTTGCTGCGCCACATTGCGCATGTTTGATTTCGGCGTTAAAGCCTCATCCGGGTTCGCCGCTATTTCGCCGTCGAACGTACGTGGGCGCCCATAAGGCTCCATGTTACAAGCTGAACGCACTTAGACGTTTTTCAGGACAATCATGTATAAAGTTCAATCGGCCACATTGTTTGTGTTTTGTAATGCGCGAAAGTGAACGCCTTGACGCATGTACACGAATTTGTTACAATCTGGTACCATCTTAAAAAAATTAAAACATGTAAAGCGTTAGTGGGGGTGGGGGCGGCAGTTGTCAAAGCCGTCAGTTTTAGAATAGCCATACCAACAAGGGTCAGAACACTATTCGTAGGTTGGAATGCGATTTAGTTGCCACTGCCTACAAAAACTTTTGATCCATTGCAGGCGACCCTGGGTGTATGTTTGCGTGACTGAGAAGATGGCTAAAATAATGGCGGAGATATCCGGACACAAGAAGGTTCTACTTTCCAGTTCACCGGGATTTGGTAAATCCACCACGGCACTGATCGAAGCGCTCATTCGCGTAACTGAAGGACATAGCTTGCTTTGGATTCATCTGAACCGCGCGCGTGACGATCACCGTTCAATGCTTGTCAAATTTAAAGCAAACGACTTGACAGCGTTCTCTCACGCAGAAGTTTCGATCAAGGACATAGAAACTGTCTTGGTAAACGAACTTCGGGATAGTAAACCGGACATTGTTGTACTCGACGGCATTACGCAGGAAGGTCACGCCGACGGTCCTTACTCACAATTCATGGGATCCATAAGTCAATATTGCCGGCAATCTCACGAAAGCGGAAATTCCAAAGTTCGCTATAGGTTTGTAACATCTTCTCCGGGATATCTATCGTACAATTCCAGCGGGATCCATCGTATTGAAATGTGGGCACCGCATTTAAAAGAATACTACACAGCAGTGGAAAACCCGCATTTCTTGGCATTTGTCTGGGACGACCTGGTAAAAGATTTTGCATACAGTGAACCAAACGATTTACAGGCTGCCTACTACACTTCTTTGTTCGACCAATATGAAGATCAAGATTTTGATCAGACAGCGGATCTTGATGGCATCAATCTGCTGCCTACTTCAAAGAATGCTAAGAAATTAATTTTCTGCAAGTTTGAATACGCTGGCATGTCCTGGCGCTATATGTTCTTTACAACACTGGAAAAAATCAAAACGGATATCAGAGCGGCCGTGGAAAATATAAGCACAAAGCAATGCGAAGAATACCTCCTCAATCCGCCCGGGCATTACAACACAGCAACAAAGCATTCGCTGTTCTGCCGCACTGACGAAACAGACTCTGGAACTCTTGTCAGTTCCTACGCTAAGCAACTGATGAGTTACAAAGCCGGACCAGCCGCTCTGAAAAATATTAAGAAACTCCTGGGCCGAGACATGAAACCTAGTACAGTGAACTTTGTTTGTATAATTGCAATACATTTTGGAGGTGTAAACTATAAGCGCAGTTTGAATGGGGGAAATTATTTAGGAATTTGAGACCCCCTAGCAGATGAGGATTTCTCTTTAGCCACGCTTATGATCTATAATTTACAGATATTTCGTTATAGGAAGTTATCTTTTTTGGTTACGTTTTGCCCGAAACCAACGAAGTATAACTGAAAGTTTGAAACGATTTTAAAGTTATTCAAAAGCTTAGTTCAGTTATTTTTGGTACGTCGTAGCGCCTTTATGCAGTTTTCATACTTATGGTTAGAAGTTAGAACTTTGCGCCAGCATGCAAGATGTGCTACCGCCATCGGTTGGCTGATGTACTAATACAGAAGCGTCGATCTTCTTACAGGTGTGCTGCCATCCGCGGTTTGACTGCTAAATTAAGGGCATTAACGATTGGCTTGCCAAGTCAACCGTGAATTAAAGCACGATTTATGAGAACTGCATAAATGCGCAAAACCGAAGCTCTTGGTTTACTACTATTATAAAACCTATGACAAGATAACTGCTGATCGACTCAGTTGTCATATGTGACCGGCTGGTCATGGCCCTAAGAGCCAGGCGATTTAAATGACGAGGGTGTTGTTCTGATCTCCCTCACAGCACACCGACAATGCGCTAACCACTATTCTGCTGACCGACAACCTGCAGGAGTCTTTTTGTTGACATGAGAAACCCAAGACCTATGAAAACTAAGAAACAAATGAAAGCTAAGAGCAAACAACAAGAATCGAAGAAAACTTGAAAATCAACGTTTCAAATCGAGCAGCAAGTTGTCCGTCAACAAAAATGTTTCGACAAACTTTCGTGTGTGAAGTTGTGAACACTTTCGTAGAAAAGCGAATTGTCGGTCAGCGAACTGTAAGTCGGCGAATTGGCGTACTACCCAGTCTCACAGTGCGGTATTCAGGTCTGCCGTTAAATTTTAAGCGTGCCCAGTCATGTCCAGCCGGATTTATCACAACAAACAGCCGGTCAAACAGTTCAGTCTTCTGTTTCCGCCTTTAAAAAAATAACTGAAACCTTTTTATTGGTTTCAGCTATGAAAGGTGATTTCTTCGAACTGATGTTTTTTGCCACAATCAAGAGCTACTCCATTGCCGTCCGGCTAAGAGGGGCCGATGAAAAAGTCAAAGAGAATTGGGACAGAACTTGGAGGGGACCGATCTATGAAGCACAATGTCATTCAGGGATGTTCGATGGCATTTTTGTGCCGGGTGGCCACGAAGACCAGTGGGACGCTGCGACAAAGTCCAGCCCGTTCTGGATTAGGCCAACAATGCCGAACAATCCAGGGTTTGATGCTGTTTTCATCAATTACCCGGAAGGATTGGTTCGGTTCGTCCAGGTGACGCGAGCAAAAAAACACTCGTTTGAAGGAGGTCACTACCTGTCCTTCGGCCGGAAACTTGCGGAGAGGTTCAAGAAGGCTGACAGATACATAAAGAAAGCTGAAATTTGCTATTTACTGAACAATGACGCTGCAATCAAAAATATGCCAACCAACACCGATTTAAGAGATACCCGGAGTGGGCAAATAGCACAGAATTATCCATTCCCATTGAATAAGAATACGAACGAGCCAATTGTGGAAATAGCACCATACGTGCTGCGCCTTGACCCGGAGCCACTGGATAGAAACGAGCAAATTCGACAAAGCTTCCACAGGAAAACATGTACGCATAAGCACGATACGCTACATTTTAAAAACATGATTAAGTCGTATTTCATAATACTGGCCATTTTATAATTAGTGTCTTTCCACACTGATGCATTGTTATTTCGTTCGCAGCAAGCACGGTGATTTCGGATGTAAGCGAACAAGCAGTCAAAAGACTGGCTGTGGACAAAATTAAAGTACATTTCGTTCAGAATGGCTTCCTCGACGCTCTGATGAGATGTAGCCGACTAAAAGGATACGACACCAAAGGCGACCGATGGTCCAATTTTTCTTCCCACGTCTACCGCCTTTTGCATAATCCAGAGGTTGTCGGATTACTTGAACAAAAGGGAATCGGAAACTCTGAAAGGACGCCACATGAAATATGCACCTGGTGGCTAACGAAAGAACGGATCATGGAAGATTATGAGACCATGGCAGTTGTTGCTAGTCACGTGTTGGCCCTTGACATAACTATTCATGTTCCACAAAAAGACCAACTCCTTTACAAAAAAACATTTTATTACGATAGTGAAACTAATCCATCAGAAGAGAGCCTGCATATTTTTTGCGACGAAAAGACAGACAGCTATGGAGCCGTGATACACCCCGAAGACGTCCCCATGGAGCCTCCCGCCGTGGAGCCTATGGAGGACGAAGAAGAAACGTGATTAACCGGAGAAGGCGTTCTGCGTACACCAAGGGTAATAATAAAATTAATAAACAGAATCTATGAAATTTTATCAGTTTTAGTGCGGCCCTGCAATTGTCCAAGTTCTGCAATATTTAATCAAACCAGACAAACTACTGTCCTTCTTGAAGAGTTTTAGAGAATGCTTAATAAAGAATGTGTACACTCGCATTTCCGCTAGCACTGCTGCGGAGAAAACAATCCGGATAGCGTATTTTTCCAAGGAATTGCTAAAGCAGCTTAGTTGTACTGATGAACTCGTAACTTCCTAAAACAATAACTAGAGGTTTTTAACCAAATCATTGGAAACCGACCGTGCGTTTGATATCACTGAAAATGGTACTGGATCTGTGAAATTCGAAAAGTACTGCACTGCCCTCTTCGAGAGTCCTGAGAGATTTATGCTTTTGACGAAGGCTTAATAGAAGAGTCGACCTTGTGTCAAAGATTTATGGTCTGCAGACCTTGGCCGCACTGGAGCCACAGCAGTTTTCAGCAAGTGCACTGAAATAAACACTAACCAAAACGATATTAATTTACATACGAGCATACTTCGAAGTATACGGATTCAGTTAAAGCAATAAATAAAATGCCAGTGTACTAAAATTAAGGAAGCTGTTACTACGATGTAGAACCCCGGTAATCTGGCGGTAAACAATGTATAGTGCAAAGGTACAGGTAGCGCAATTGCCGCTTAAAGCGCCAAGCGGTATACCGGTAGTCAGAAATGTGCGATTACGAATATTAAAACGACAACTATAAAAGTATCAATTTTCCATATTTCTGCATATGTATTTTTTTGACTGGCTTCGTTATCGTTTGAATAATTATATGAAAAGCAAAGAAAACATACAGTCCATGGTTTTAATGGATTATTAGGTTATTTTAATTTTTCACTAAGTTCGGTATCTGCAATTTAATCTAAACCACCGTCACGTTTGTGAAAATTTTTATTGAGAACCATGAAGGTCACAACCTACGCTGTGGCATGTGGCAAGCAGCTGCTGAGGGTAGATAAAAACACCCTCACTGAAGGTTTTTAGTCCGTACGGTACGCTGTTCGTCTGCGACTCGTATGGCGACGCAATATAGCACTGGTGACCGGGAACTGTCGACTGCAAAGTCTGTGGGCGATTGGAGTGTTCGCGATGCCGTATCGCCGTTTTCCAACGGCGGCTTCTGGGAACTGTCGCCCTCCTTGTAAAACACGTACAAAGTAAGACCAAAGATGTTCCCGACAGTAAGTCCACTGTGTGACGTGGGGGACTGGGCCGTCTGTGCGTCCAGCACAGTATGGTTGGTCTGGTTATTGGTTGTAGATTACTTCAAGACGATGCTGCGAAACCTAAAAAAACGGCGCTGGCACCCTCGGCAGAAATCTGGCCTAAAGCGTAAATATAATGCGACATCATTGGAGCGGGTGTTCCCCACGTGGCGGTAGCGGCGCTGGTTAACCCTCCAGCGGGCGGTACCCGAAGGAGTGCGAGTTTCCTTATGAAAATCAGCATTTCCCGATGGAAAAATTCAATTAAGAAAGGGAATTTTTTGTGAGCCTCTGTTGACCATAGGTCAGCGGTGGTTACTCTGTCGCCTGCAGAACGCCAATGCCCATGGACGGTCTACAGCATAAAAACGTTTAATTCTGCAATAATTAGGCAAACAGTTATTACGTAAAAGCAATAACTTTATTAAATAGCTAAAAAAAGTGCTTTAAAACAGCAATATAGAAGTGGTCAACACATTGACCACTGGTCAGCATAAAATTAAAAGCTGCCAAAGCCCGTTTCCATGTGTTTGGACCACTACTACCCAATAAAATACATAAAACAAATTACGCTGACGATACTTCTTTGCCATAACGCTTATTACAGTTACATATTATGAAACGGCATAAAGTACTCCCTATGAAGTTTGTCATTGCACTTGCTGCATTTCGACGAGTTTATGATGCTGTGTCGTCCGCGGTTGCACTTTTCCTGGGATTAGGCGCAATGGCAGTATCAAAAAGCGTTGGGGATGGTGCAGCTGCAGTGGTGATAGATTCAGATATAAGCGGTCACTATGCGCTAGCACTGTTTTTTGAAAGGCACAAGTAGCCGCAAGTAACCCGTAAGGCTGCCCGCGCAAAGGTCAGCATCACCCATGACAATGTTCACATTACAAGTTGCAATCACTTAAATTTGCAAATGCCAGTGGCTGGTCGAAATTAAACTCATATTTTTTAAAGCTATCGGGCTCCCTCACTTTGAGAGACTCTCAAGCGATGCATCGCTAGCGTAAAAGGAAACGGGCAGAGCTCAAAGTGCTGTGCTGCCATTTTATATCGTTACCGTACATACACTGTTTCCTTGAACGTTTTATTGTCCAGAGGCAGACAACGTTTGAGACAATTTTGCTTTTTTGCCGACCGCCCGGGGGGCTGATCAGAAAAGGGGCTTTTTGCCAGCTTACGACAATTGTGACCGTGTGGCGCACGTTTGTGTACAAACCGACAAGAGCTTGATCCGATTACGTAATAAAGCGCTACTGTCGAAATTGCACCCGCCCGTGTATTCAAAACCCTTCAACGGCGTTTAGCAGGCGACACACGTTTTTGACGGACTGTGGTCATCTTTGGTTCAACCTACAGAAACCGTGTTAACCGTTTTTAGATTCAGCTCTCTCAAATGTACCTTGTTGATTTATCTCCGGTTTAATTAATCATTCACTAATTAGTTAATTAGCAAGACCTACGGCAGCTAGGAAAGTCCAAAATTTACGATTTTCGCGGACCTGTCGTTCGTAATTAACTTTAGACAAAAGTTTCAATTATTTTTTTACTGTTGCTTACTACACTAAAGGATAACGATTAACTTTTGCCGATCGCAGGAGAAAAAATCCCAAACACCTTGTCGCCTCCTGGACGCCAATGCCCGTCAACGGGTTAAGGGAAGGAAGGTTTCCGGAAAGGAGCAGCAGAATTCACGATCCGTCTCGAAGACATGGCGCCATCCTCAGACGAGTAGAACCAGATAGCGCCTCGGTTAAAGCACGCTCACGGGATTTCCATCATGAACCTCACCCTGTCGTACACAGACTTGCCCAGCATGCGGGATTCGTTCGATACAGAAGAAGATAAATTTTGCTTACTACACTAAAGGATAACGATTAACTTTTGCCGATCGCAGGAGAAAAAATCCCAAACACCTTGTCGCCTCCTGGACGCCAATGCCCGTCAACGGGTTAAGGGAAGGAAGGTTTCCGGAAAGGAGCAGCAGAATTCACGATCCGTCTCGAAGACATGGCGCCATCCTCAGACGAGTAGAACCCGTGGTGCGCTATAATTGCATGGATCGGAAGCCTCACCCCTGGTTTAGTTGTGTCCGCTGCCTAAACTGAAGTTCACGCATTTCGTTTGGTATTTCGTTCATGCACTTTTTGCTCAAAATCCATAAAGTTTTTAATGCGGTCCAAATTTATGTGCTGCTTAGTTTTTTCTTCATTTACTCAGTGTTACACAAGTGGTCGAATTCTAATCTGAAATTAAAAACACGGTAAAATTTGTGTGTGTTCTTACGTAATGAAACCGTAGATCGCACACCAGATAGCGCCTCGGTTAAAGCACGCTCACGGGATTTCCATCATGAACCTCACCCTGTCGTACACAGACTTGCCCAGCATGCGGGATTCGTTCGATACAGAAGAAGATAAATTTCGGACGGCTTTCGATGTGGGCGGGATTCAGAACGCCAACCCCGGAAATGAGCAGCTGCGCGCTTTAAAACGAAACTGTATGCCGCACCACCAAGCGAGCGACCGCGAAACTCCGTAATGAAACCAAATAGTAATAAGGTCAGCGGTATAAAAGACGTGATTTTGGCCGAAAACGGGGACGCTGATCTCGCTGCCCCGAAAGATTTCGGTGACGGACGTAATGGGTATGGCGAAAAACCAAGGTCGAAGGAAACCAATATCAAGTACGCGCATCTACGAGGTCAAAGTATTCCGTATTTTCCTTCAGCCAGGTACTTAACTAATATTATTGTTGGTAACGTCATGTGAAGGCACTGTACCTTATAATTATAGTTATGCGCGCTGTTCGAAAATATGTAAGTCCTTTGTAATGTAATATTTTTCGGTAGACTAAATAAGTTATGTATAAGATAGCGCCAGTTGCTAAGGTCTTGTACATACTGATACGCACCAAGCACTTTGTCAATGGACGAAGCCAACAAGTACAGTACTACGAGCAATACATGCGTTATCTGCTGACAGATTTGTCAAATCCCGGTTCGCAACTTCGCAGTGATAACTTATGACAACTTTTGACTGTCGGTGTTAACTACTGATTCTGATCTTTTGGGGTCCTTGACGTTAAGGTGTAAAGCAGTGTGGATTATCGCCAAATTATGCAAGCGGAATGGCGGGCCATGTAGGTACTGAGTATTAATATGAAATTACTGTAATTACCTAATTATTGTGTGCAGATTTTTCAGCTGATTACTGCGAAATTATTTAACCGTAATTGTGCGGATAACTGTGAAGTCACTTCCAATATTTATGCGGATTATTCCAGTTTTTAAAGTTGAAACCAGCAATCCGATTACGCGAATAATTTTTAAATTTGCAGATTAGACCCGCATTATTCCAGAGTCGTAACCAAACCGGCTATCAGTACCCTGAAGAGTTCTAATGGCCTCACCCGCACCAAGCGCTCCGTCACCTGTCGAACCTCCAAGTGCAGACCTTTCCGGACAAATCCACAACTGCGAAAACCGCCCGATCAGCTCATGTTGTGGCTGTCCGCAGTGTGTCCAGTTTTCCGATAACTCACGACCGGTGACGCCGATCAGCGACGAACTCGAAAGAGAACAACGCTCTCCTGGCTGCGAAGCAATTTAACCACATAAGCCCGCTTGTGTCGATGAACCTGTTCAAATGTCGTGTTATAGAGATCAAGTGGACGTGTGCAACAAAAAAGTGCAAACGGGGTGCGCTTATCCGTTGAGGAGAAGTGATGGCTGCCTAAACGTTGGGACAGAACGCGGTTGTCCAATGCAGCCCACTCAGAGATGTGAAACGGTTCCGACGAAACGCAGTTGGGCTGTAAAAGAGATCGATCGGTGCCAGAACGTTCAGATGGAAATTAACTGTCCATCAAAACTGACCGATACCTGTCAGATCGAACC